CACTGCAATCAGCTTTTGCTTGTGTCTGAAAAGACAAATAAAAGGACATTAAGCACTCAAAGAAGAGGGAAAAAAGCATTGCAGACTAGAGGTGACACATCCCCACTTCTTCCTTCCCCTATCTTGTACACATAGATGTACACACACACACTCATGCACACTTGCACAGGGTGTGCAAAATCCAGTAGAAGCCAGGGGCGGTAACGCATACCTGTAATCCCAGAGGCTCGGGAGACTGAGACAGGAGAATCATAAGTTCAAAGCCAGCCTCAACAATGATGAAACGCTAAACAACTCAGTGAGACCCTGTCTCTAAATAAAATACAAAAAATAGGGCTGGGGATGTGGCTCAGTGGTCAAGTGCCCCTGAGTTCAATCCCTGGTACGTAAGTAAGTAAGTAAGTAAATAAATAAATAAATCCAGTAGAAATCAGCCCATATAGAAGACAAGAGACACTGGGGAACCAATGTTAGAGAAAACAGGCCCCGTGCAGTTGGAAATTGTACTCAGGCCCTCCTGACCTCATAGTCAATGCTCTTTTCAGTTATCTTTTCAGTTTGGAAGGTAGCCCAGAGGCCTCTTAGCTGACACTATGGTTTGTTGAAATCCAGTTCTCATACTATCCCTTAGAGAAAAATATGTCATTTGTCATGGTCCAGTTTAGTCTCGTTTTTTTTTTTTTTTTGTACTGGGGATTGAACCCAGGGTGCTTAACCACTGAGACACACCACAGGCCTTTTTATATTTTATTTTGAGACAGGGTTTTCCTAAGTTACTGAAACTGGCTTTGAATTTGAGATCCTCCTGCCTCAGTCGCCTCAGTCTCCAGAGCCGCTGGGATTACAGGCATACAGCACCATGTCCCACTCAGTTAAGTCTTCTTCAGAACTCATACCTCCACCCCTTTCAATGGATTCTCTTAGGGTTTCATCATGAACACCTTCCTGGGAATAAGATGTGGTTTGTGAAACTGCATCTTCCAGGGCAGCACCTACATCAGCCTCAAAACCCCAAATGCCATTGGCTAAGTGAGGCTATCCCTTCTGTGACTCAGACACTGTGTTTTCTGAAATCTGAAAGTACTTAAATTCTCAAATAGCTTAAAATTTCTTTTCTTATAACTGTAAGCTAATTGTCCTAAAAATGAACACTTTCTTGAATGTTTCTTTTTTTTAATTTTTTTGTTTTTTAGTTGTCAATGGACCTTTATTTTTATTTATTTATATGTGGTGCTGAGGATTGAACCTAGTGCCTCACACATGCTAGGCAAGCGCTCTACCACTGAGCCACCACCCAGCCCTGAATATTTCTTAGTAAGTTTCCTTCTTTGGTGTACATATTAATGAAAATATTCTCTACTTTCTACAATATTTTTTCTTCTAGTTGTAGACGGACACAATACCTTTCTTTCTTTATTTTTGTGTGGTGTGAGGATTGAACCCAGTGCCTCACAGACACAAGGCAAGTGCTCTACCCCTGAGCTACAACCCCAGCCCACAAAAGGGTTTTTAAAATCAATATTATTGAAATATCAACTGCCAATTTGGTAATGGCACAATAATGGCAAAGCATGTTTTTGTTCTTAGTGCTGAAATGGCAGGTAAAGGAATAGAGGTAACTTACTTGTCTTCTGGATTTTGAATGTCATGAAAGAAGAGAGTCTTGCTCATCTGTATGCTCTCGCTCCTAGCATGGTATCTAGCTCAGTCTAGGTATTTAATTTTTAATCAGCAAACATGGTGCTATTATAAGCCAGGTCAGTTTGAAATGCTTCACAAATATTAACCTGCAGGAGAATGTTAAATATTGCAGGGGAAACAAGCATCATACCTATGCTGTATGAGGAAACTGAGGCAGGATGAGAATAAGCAACTTGTCTAAGGTCTCAGAGTGGCAGAACCATGATTCAAACCTAGACAGTCTGGCTCCAGGTCCCTGGTGTCAGTCACCCTTCTCTTCTGCCTTTCATCAATGTTGAATGAGTGTATGATCAATCTGCATTTATCCATGAGGAATGCTTTTGTAAAGTAGGTATTTAATTACTCTCACCCTACAAATATTTAATAAGCACGTACCATGTGTCTAGCATCCTGAAAGAAATTTTGGAGAACTTTAAAGATTTACAGAAAATTCATAATTTTGTTAGGAAACACACACATACACACATACTGTCACACTAGCAGTTCCCATATAGATACCATAGGAACTCAGAAGAAAGGATTATATAAGACTATGAAAGGGCCAATGGCAGTCAGACTCTAATTGACCCCACAATTCTTGCTCCTGCTATTCATTCTGTGTTGTTTAAACCTTCCCCTTGAGTGTGGATAACTTCTAGTCAATGAATATGGTAAATATGAGGAGTTTTTTTTTGTTTTTGTTTTGCTACTGGGAATTTAACCCAAGGGCGTTTAACCACTGAGCCACATTCCAGCCCTATTTATATTTTACTTAGAGACAGGGAGGGTCCTGCTAAGTTGCTGAGGCTGGCTTTGAACTTGTGATCCTCTTGTTTCAGCCTCTGAAACCACTGGGATTCCAGGCATGACCCACCACGCCCATGCAGATAAGGAGTTTTGAAGATGTCATTTTGTTCCTAAATCAGTTGATTAGGGGACTGGTGAGCAAGGGCTACCTGGGAGGGCTCACCCCTTCCTCCTGGGCAAACCTAATTAGACAAAAGCCTTTAAAAGAAAGACTGGGCCTCCCCTGAGCTGAGAGGGAAGCTTCTCTTTGCTGGCTGAAGTGGAGAAGCCCTTGGCATAGAACCATAGGCAGACTCCAAGGCAGCCTCCAGATGACAGCTCAAAATGAATTCCTGCTAAGAACCTCAAAGAGGTTGCAAAGGAATTCTTCAGGTGAGAACACTGCCTGCCTGACATCTAATTGCAGTCTTCTGAGACTCTGGGCAAAAGACCCAGCAAAGCCATGCTTAGATTGCTGATCCATGGAAACCGAGAGATGAGAAACAGTTGTGTTTTAAGCTGCTAAACGTGTGGTCATTTGTGTTTTCTCAGTAGATTAACTAATACAAAGCACTCTCAGGAGCTAGTGAAAATGGAGAAGAGAGGACTCTCTTTATGTCTATCCTGCTTCTAAGGTTTATGATCAGGGAAGGGAGGAAAATTATTAGTAAGAGAAAAACCGAAATAAATCCTCTAGCTTTTAGTTGCTTTTAGCTGACTTAAACATCAGTAACTTTGGAGGTCACACAGCTGGGCAATACATTAGTCTCCCATTAGTTTTGCTGTAGATAACACCGCTGATGCATAGGTTATGATGATAACAGTTGCCTGGATAACTTTTTAGGACCTGAAGTCCTGACTCTTCACTTGTCCTACTGATGTCCAAAGGGAATGGGATGCAAAGACTTGGCATCTCTGTCTTCATGTTGTGTCTCTTTTGTTGCTTTAACCTTTTGGTCAGAGCCTACTCAGCTGTGTATGCACACAAATCGATTAGTTGGATAAATATTTTGTCCAACTCTATAAGACTAACTTGACCTCGACTTGCTTAGCTTCTTCCCCTCCCTTCAAGTCTACTAGCCACCATGACTAGAAATACCAGACTATGAAAGCAATAAGAGGAGGTGGTACCTGAGTTCCTGAAATATCTCTGGCTATTCCTAGAAAAAAACCTGTTTATTAGACTCTCCCTCTCAGTTGTTCCTATCCTATATCTGTAGCCCCTTAACCCTTTTGCAGCTTGAGAAGATGATTTATAAGCATAGGCTTTACTTCTACATTCTTTGGCTACTAAGAAAACCCTTTCTTTCTCCCCTAAACTGTCCCTTTCATCTTGTCTCAATTTTCCTGAGATGAGCCTCTGAACATAGGTTGGTAACAAAATTAGGCTTCTAAGGATAAAAATAGAGAAATCAGGTTCATCACAATGGTGCATTCCTATTATCCCAGTGACTCTGGAGGTTGAGGCAGGGGGATTTAAAGTTAGAGGAAAGCCTCTGCAATTTAGTCTCAAAATAAAAATGACTGGGGATGTAGCACATTAGTAGAGCACTAAGTACCCCTCCCCGCAAAGGAAATCAGAAGTAGAAATCAATCTGAGTGGGAGAAGGTGATGTTCATAATGCATATTTTAGTGATGAAGTCCATATTTTAATTATGAACTTGGAGAAAATAAAATGGGCATAGAAACTTAAATTTTGGAGGTGGAGTTCAGGTGTGAGTTCAAGGCAAACGGGAATTTGGTCATTATCGGCATAGAAATAACAATTGAAGGCCTGAAAATTAAAGTAGCCCAAAGGAGGGGTTCAGAGAGGAGCAGGAGGATGAATTGAGCAAGGCTACCAATGTCCTGGGGAGAAGAATGTAGAAATAGGAAAGCCAGGATGTTTGAGGAGTAAAAGGAAGGACTTCACAGCCGGGCTTGGTGTTGCACTCCCATAACCCCAGTGGGTTGGGAGGCAGAGGCAGGAAGATCGCGAGTTCAAAGCCAGCCTCAGTGGTTAAGCCCCCCTGGGGGGGGTTTAAAAAAATTTAATCAATCGCCGGTTTAAAAAAAAAAAAAAAAGACTTCACGATGGGGTGTGTTGTTCAGGATATTCCATTTTCCTGAAAGTGTAATTACAATGCAACCTCCAGGAGGCAGTCTATTTCCACAGGTAAGAAAACGGAAGTTTCCAGTTGAAATATAGATCAACACCATATCAAGTGAAAGCTGAATTTGAACATAGATATCACATCAAATCCATGGATCTTCCTGCTACACATTTAGTTCATCTTTATTATCCAAAGGAGAGTAAAATGAATAAATAGGGGAGACCCGTCAAGGGAGGAATGAAGTTTCCCCAGAAGGCCTAGAGAGAAGCCAGGCAATCCGCACGCCGCTGTCCTCCCTGGCACCAGTAGAGGTCGCTAGTGCAAAGGCTTCGCGGACTGAGGTGTACGCACGCGCGGGCGCATGCGTGACTCCCCCAGCCTGCAAGGGGTCGCCGGACCGGCGGGGGCGGGCACACGCAGTGCGCGCGGCCGGGGGCGGAGCAGCGCTGGAGGCGGCGGTGGCCGGCCTGCGGGGTGGGAAGCCTTAGCGGGCCCCAGGTAAACGAAGTGCTGCGCAGTGCTGTCCCCGCCGCCCGCCGCCCTCCGCGGAGCCATGGAGATCGGCACCGAGATCAGCCGCAAGATCCGGGTGAGGCCCGCGTCAGCCGGCACCTGGTGAAGGCGGGAAGCGGGGCCTCGGCGGGCGGTTGCCAGGAGTAACGAGGTCGGCGGGCCTGGCCGGGGGCGCTTCTCGCCCGGGCCGCCTCGGTCCTGGCGCGGCCATGGCCTCGGAGAGCGCGCCCGGGCTGCGGCGGGCGAGTTACCCCCAGCGGCGCGGAGAGCGGTCCCGGGTGGGCCGCCGGGGGTCGAGGCGCCTCCCCGCCCCCACCCGGCTGCGGAGGGGCGGGAGGCGAGGCACCGGCGAAGTCGCCTCAGCGCTGCCCGGGTGTCGTTTTCCTGGAGCCGCCATTCTCACGTGCACATTTGCTCTTTTTCCCTTAGAGTGCCATTAAGGGGAAATTGCAAGAATTAGGAGCTTACGTTGGTAAGTATTTTGTTGTCGTTGTTGTTAGCCGACTAGAATTTAATTTGCAGCTGCTTGAATTTTAGTGAGTGCATTTCCCCCCCATCGTACTTCTGACATTCTGTTTTCTGCTTTCTACTCTTCTTCAAATCTGATAATCCCTGGTTACTTTCCCGTCATTTTATTGAACATTCTTCTTTGCAACCTTTTTTCCCCAGCCTAATACAGTAGTTTGAAACAGTGTAGCTTCCTCCACTAAGGTTCTTTCCTATTTCCATTTTCTGGATTTTATTTTATTTTTCCTTTTGTTACTTTCCTCTTGACCTTTATTTTCAGAACTTTTACTTTGGACATGAATGTTTGATGCTTTCTGGCTTTTGCCCTGGAATGGCTCAGTGAGTTTTATCTTTAGATCTCTTTATCTTCTTCCAAGTGTTTCTTCTTTCTTGCAACAATAAAGGGTTCTCTTTCTCCCTGTTCTTTTATATTGAATGTTTACTCTGGGTCTGGCTTTGTGCCTATTTTATTTATGCGTGTGTGTGCGCGTGCTTATATATGCATTAATATGATAATCCCCAGGAGAACACGGAAAGGTAAGTGGTAATATCTCCCTGTACAATCAGGGGCAAAATTTTATGGATTTAGTCTGTTGACGTCAAAGCTGGTACTTCCTATAAATAATTGTTACCACTTAGGACAACATTCTCAAAGAGTGTGAGACCCTAAGGATCTCTGAAGTTGAAACTGCTTTCATATTAATACTAAGAAGATACTTGCTATTTTCACTTGGATTGTGGAAAAGCAGTGGTTGGTAAAACTGCTTGTTTTTTTAGCCTGAATCAAGATAGTCAAGCCAGATTCTATCAGAAATCATATTCAAATCCCTATTTTCCCTACTTGGCAGTTTACAGAACAGAAAAAGCTAGTTTCTCTTTAAGTGTTTTTTGTTTTTGCCATACTGAGGATTGAACTTAAGGGTACTTTACGGCTGACCTACATCTGCAGTCCTTTTTATTTTTTATTTTGAGAAAGGGTCTCACTAAGTTGCTGAGGCTGGCCTCAAACTTTCAGTTCTTTTGCCTAAACTCCCTACTTGCTGGGATTTCAAATGTATGCCATTGAATCAAGCAGTAAAAATATTTTTTAAAACTCTAGGCCTTTCCATCTTTTTAATATTTTGCTTTTGCAGAAATAGCAGTGCTCATAAAGCACTTCTGTGGTAGAATAAACAATGGTGGTTGTTTTAAGGAAAGACATGTGTATGATTGAGTTGAGAATTAAACTAATCACTTTTTTTTTTCTTTTGAGGTACTGGAGATTAAACCCAAGGGTGTTCAATCATGGAGCTATATCTCCAGTTCTTTTTATTTTTATCTTGAGACAGGGTCCCACTAAGTTGCTGAGGCTGGCTTCATATTTGTAATCCTCCTGACTCAGTCTCCCAAGTTGCTGAAATTGTAGGCATGCACCACCAACCCTGGCTTAGCCACCTTTTTCATGAGGCATCTTTGAATTTTTGTGTGTGTTATTAGTGCTGGGGATGAAACCCATGGTCTCATATTTGCATGTGCTTTACCACTGAGGTGCATCTTTAGCCCCTCATGTTAACATAAAGAACTGATGACTGGTTACATGTACTTGGGTATTGGCAGACAGAAGAAAAAAGAACTGTTGGTCTTTGATGCCAGCTTGAAATTTCAAATGAAAATTGGAAAAATTTGAAAAAAATTTGCGTCCATGAACCTGATTTCCAGTACTAAAACAATTTCTCGTGAAATTTTAGATATTTTAATAAATATTTATATGTGTGTATGAGTGTGTTTTTCAGTATGGGGATGAACCTAGGGACACTCTACCACTGAGCTACATCCCCAGCCCTTTTTTTAAATTTTGAAACAAGGTCTTGCTGATGTACAGAGGATATCCTAGAGCTTACCATCCTCCTGGCTCAACCTCTTTGAGTAGCTGGGATTCCAGGTGTGCACTATAAGACCTGGCTACAAGTTGTAATTTTTATATATATAATGAAATGTATCAACATGTTAGTGATTCTCTAGCTCACTGAACCAGTATTTTCCTAGTGATCAGTACATAATGTTAAATAAATTCATTTGGGTGTCCTTAAAAGCACAGGCTCAATCAGTGGATTTTCTTGTAATAGTGTAAGAAGGTATTTGATGTAGTTTTAGATTTCATGTTGCTGCTAACTTTTAGTAAATTACCATTTGTTGAGTTTTAGTGTAGTATAACAGAATAATATTCACATTATTTGTGAAGGTTGTAGAAATGCAAGTGTGTATTTATGTGACCCTAGATTTTCTTTATATTCTTCCAAGTGAACAGTATTAAAAGAGATTAAATGAAATAAACTAGATGCTAGAATCTACTGGTCTTTTAAAGTAGATGTTAAAGAGATTTAAAATATAAAACAAGAGCACTCTTTGCATTATATTTTTGTTTTAGAAACTAGTTATTTTAATAAAAATGTTATTTATGTTAGTATAATTTGGTTTGTTGTTAATATGTAATTGATCTATTATAAATGAATTAATAGATAGTTCTGGGTGTGTTGGTACATGCCACTTACCCCAACAACTTAGGGAAGCTGAGACAGGATGATCACAAGTTCAAGGCCAGCCTGGGCAACAGCAAAATTCTGTCTCAATATAAAATTTAAAAGGAGCGGGGAATATAGCTTAGTGATAAATTAAAGTTTGAGAGTTCTTAGTTTATGAATTGCTTACAAATTTAAGAAATTATTTGTTGTTGGGATTGTTAAGACTTTCACTGATGAGAAGATGAAGCTGAACCAGGATTTATTTATTCTTTTTCATTCAACACTTAATGGATGCCTGGGGTGAACTTGTTTTGGCTCAAAAATAGAAATCCACAGAAAACCTAGTGATAAACTTTCTTAATTCTAACACGTGAAAGCACAAACGCATTCTTTTTTCTTTTTTTTAAAGAGAGAGAAGAGAGAGAGAAATTTTTTTAATATTTATTTTTCAGTTTTCTGTGGACACAACATCTTTATTTTATTTTATGTGGTGCCAAGGAGTTAACCCAACGCCCCGCGCATGCCAGGCACTAGCGCGTTACTGCTTAAGCCACATCCCCAGCCCACAAACACAAACACATTCTTATTGAGCCAAAATGCAGTGACCTTTGATCATTTATCAGATTGTAATTAAAGAATTCTGAGCCTGTTAAAAATCTTGTTGTAACATTAATTCATATGATACATAATAATAATGTTTTCTGTAGTTTTTCAGAAATATTTTTATATTGTTACATTTGTCCCTGAACACAGTGCTGGGGTTGAGGTGATAGGTAGTAGTATTCCTTTTACAGGTTAGAAAATGGAGTCTTGAGGACTACATAGAACTTGTCAGTAGCAGATTTTAGATCAGGGAGCTCAGGTCTTCTGAGTTCTTACTGTTTCTGTGCTATTAACTTATTTTGTGAACTAAAGATTGGGTTGGAGTGCGCACTCCTAGAACTCCACCAAAATATGTCCAAGCAGTTTATGTGGTAGTACAGCTTTCTCTGTCTCTGCCTATTTCTTTTTTTTTTTCTTTCTCTTTTTTTTTAAGGGTGGGGAGGGGGAGAGTACTGGGAATTTAACCCTGAGGTGCCTTATTGCTGAGCTACATGACCAACACTTTTTAAAAATTTTATTTTAGGTTGGTGCACACCTGTAATCCCATGGCTCCAGAGGCTGAGACGGAAGGATTGCAAGTTCAAAGCCAGCCTCAGCAAATGTGAGGCACTAAACAACTCAGTGAGATCTTGTCTTTAAATAAAATACAAAATATGGCTGGGGATGTGGCTCAGTGGTTGAGTGCCCCTGAGTTTCCTGGTAACCCCCCCCCCCCAATTTTTATTTTAACTCAGGGTCTTTCTAAATTGCTGAGGGCCTTGCTAAATTGCTGAGACTGGACTTGAACTTGTGGGGGTTTTTTTTGGTACCTGGGATTGAACTTGGGTACTCAACCACTGAGCTACATCCCCAGCCCAATTTTGTATTTTATTTAGAGACAGGGTCTCACTGAATTGCTTAGTGCCTGGCAGTTGGTGAGGTTGTCTCAGCCTCCCAAGCCGCTGGGATTACAGGCATGCGCCATCATGCCCAGCTCAGAAGTTTGTTGTTGTTTGGTACTTGGACTTGAACCTAGGGTTTCCACGCATTCTACTGCTAAGCTATACTCCCACTTTCACAGTTTCTTGACAAGATTTTGGGTTTGCTGTGTTCCAGTAGCCTAGAACCCAGTATTTCATAGATATGAGTTCATTAAGTTCATAAACAGGTCATTCTTCAACTTCATTTGAAATAAAATAGATTTTACTACTGATTTATGTTTATAATTTGTATGTGTGTATACCATTGTCCTGGAAAGGGTGACTTTCTAATCTTTATCCCAGAAATTGTCCTGAAAACAATCCTTCAATAAATATTTGAATATTTTTTTGCAGGACAGTTTTTATTATTTTAATGTACAGAAAACCCAACAGTGTACATTTATAGTGGTGAATTCTTTAGCCTTTGCCTTTTCCAGCTTGGCAATGGGAGCCACAGATTTTGGACCCAGGACATTGCCTCTGCAGTGATGTTGGATGTCTTATCTGTCATTATAGTTGGTCCTAATAGCTTCAACCAGCTTAGCCAGAGCTCTTTTGCCTTCCAAGTTAACCTGTGTGGAGGCAGCAGTGGTGCATGTCTTCCTGACATGTCACCTTGATGCAGTAAGGGACTCCCATCTTGTGACACAGGGCTGGCCGGAAGACAACCAGCTAGAAAGAATCCACATAATATGCAGTCACCACCAGCTGAGCCTTATTCTCCACCAAAGTGATGACAGTATTGACCCCTGTTCGAAGTATCTGTGGCCTCTTAGTGGGGTTGTCCCCTTTGCTAGCAGCTTGCTTCTCAGCTCACGCCAATACCCCCTGCTTTTTCTCCTGCTTAGTCTTTGTTTTGTACTTGTGAGCAAACTTAATCAGTTTGGTAGTTGTTTGTTGGTTCAAGGCCTAGGTGAACTGCCTTGTAGGAGGCTTTTTAGCCGCTTATGGAGTATCACCCTTTGCCGCTGTAGCCAGATGCAGTGGGGTTATTTGACAATGCGGGTAAGGTCTCTTTTGGGTTGGATGTCCTGTCCATTGCTGAAGTTCTTAGGCCTTTTCTGGAACAAGGGAGTTACCACTTCTTGACTTTTTTGCTTCTTTCTTGACGACAGCAGGGTCTAGGGCAGCTTTTATTCCCTTTCTGTTTCTTGGGCTGCTGGAGGAGAAAGGGGGAAGAATTGTGGGTCTTTCTTGCTTTGTTTCTTTCCTTTATTTGATGGTTGTGGTGGTGGGGGCACTCTTTTTAAAATTTTGAGACAGGGTCTTGCCAAGCCGCTGGGATTACAGGGATGCGCCACCATGCCCAGCTTGTTTTTGTTGATACACCAGGCTGAGATCCTTCTTCCTCAGCCTCCCAAATCACTAGGATTACAGTTGAGTGCTACTAGGCCTGACTATCTATTTTTAAGGCATTGGGTGGGATACAAAGATGAACAAGCTTTTTTTTTTTTTTTTTTTTTTTAAAGGAGATAATAAGATCTTATTTGTATTTAAAATGGAGCATTTCATTGAGATTGTAGTTATAATTAATGCAGTTTTTCATTTACCTTTTAGAATGTGAGCTTCCAGAAACCTTCAAGATTTTAACTGTTTTTTCCTTGTACTAATTTCACATGAACTTGAGAAATCTGTCAGAGTTCTGTAGGATGCATCATGACTACATGTTAATTTTTTTGTTAGATTCTTAATTTTCATTGTGTATCTATTCAGAAAACAACCCAAGATTCTGTGTTTTTGTGTGTGTCCCCCCCCCCCCCTCCAGTATTGAGGATTGAACCCAGGGCCTCAAGCATACTAGGCATGTACTCTAGCCATTTCCCATCATTGTTTTTTGAGACAGGGTCTTGCTAAATTGCCTGAACTCAAACTTGTGATCATCTTGCCTGAGCCTCCTGAGTTGGGGCTACAGCAATATGCAACTGTGCCTAGCACAACCTATGAATTACTAAGAGTTTTGTTGAGACATAATTGGCATACCTTAAATTGCACATAAAATTTGTAGTTTAGTATTTCTTGTCATGTATATATCCAAAACTTTCCTCACAAATCAAGATGATGAACATATAGGTCTGGGTGTTTAGCTCATTGGTAGAATGCTTGCCTATCATGTGCAGAGCACTGGGACTTCAGTACCATCAAAATTTTAAAAATCATCACCCCCCCAAAATTTTAGGGTCTGCTTTGTATCTTTCACTGCTCCTACCCTGTACTGAGGTCCACAGTAATTTTATAAAATTTTAGGAAATGCAAACTAATGCATGGCAATAGCAGAAGAATAGTCTGTTTGTATCATTGACATGAAGAAAAACTTTCAAGACTTTCAACTTGTCTGTTGACCCTTTCTGAGTTACCAGTAGTGGCTTGTAGTAGGTACATGCATAAACAAGCTCCCCAGCTTCTTTACTATAATTGCTAGAAAGCAGTGGGAGCCTTTCTGATAGTACTAAAGAAAAACAAATCGACTAGTCCTTGTATCTTTTCGTATATTGCATGCTTCCATGAAGTATTCTGACCTCCCTTTCCTTTTGTAGGTTGTGCTTTCTAAATATATTTTATATCTTTTGAACTGGACTTTTGATATTTTTCTTTGAAACAAGTGTATGATTATACTTCTGAAATGAACATTTCTCCCTACGTAGAAATATGAGTATTTTTAGGTATGAAATTAATTTTAGTAAAGAAATATCCTTTTTGTTTGCTTGGTAGTGATTAGAGTTTCTGATATTGGTTTTTACCTATTTTTTATTTTTATTTTTTATTTTTGGAGATGTTCTTTTTAAATGTTTTTCTTTATCTAGGATTTCATCCTCACTGTCAAGGTTATCACTAAGAGTATAAGAAAGTGAGTTGATGTTATTTAACTAATTATTATATATTTTTAGTGGTGCTAGGGATTGAACTCAGGGCATTCTTTGTGCATTCTAAACAAATGATCTATTGCTAAGCTACAATACTCCTACCTCCTACCTAATTTTAAGATTGAAACTTTTAAGTTATGTAGTTTGGGCTGATTTTATTTTATTTCATGTTACTGGAAGTTTATTATACTAATTGAAGTCTGCCTTTACCTTCATCAGAGATAAAGGTGTTCTCCTGAAAAATGAATATTACCTTGAAAAATTAAAGACCAGAAAATTAAACATAATGGTTATTCTTTATAGAAGCTTTTCTAACGTTAATGAACATTATTATTAAAAAGGTAACTTCAAGAAAATGGATGTATTCTCAAGATTAATAATAATATAATTCAGGATGTCTAGATTTATTTTTTAATTTTAATTGTTTTTATTTTATTTTATTTTTTTTTAGTTGTAGATGGACACTATATACCTTTATTTTATTTATTTTTATGTGGTGCTGAGGACCAAATCCAGTGCCTCACACATAGGCAAGTGCTCTATCATTGAGCTACAACCACAGCCCAGGATGTCTAGATTTATAACTAGGAATTCATCAGTTATTCCTAATTCCTATCCTTCTGATAATTGTAGAACTCGTGAGATGAAGAGGAAAAAATCAAAGCTCAGTTTTTCTATCTAACCTAATTCCAATAGATACTAATTCTTAAAGCTAAATCTATATGCTGAAGTACATCAACTCTAAATACAAATAATGAGGAAAACAAAAAAAATTTGATATACTTTTCCTTTTAAATAGATGAAGAACTTCCTGATTACATTATGGTGATGGTGGCCAACAAGAAAAGTCAGGACCAAATGACAGAGGACCTGTCCCTGTTTCTAGGGAACAACACAATTCGATTCACCGTATGGTATGTTTCTGAATATCTATGACTCAGAACAAAGCTTGGCAGAAGTCAGAGTAGGTGGAAAGAGCCCTTGACAGTTGAGTTAAGATTCAGTGTGGCAAAACAGTTTGCAAGGTATGAAAGCACTGGGTCTGGACCCAGACTGCCAAAGTTGATCTTGCTTTGTTGTCCATTTGTTTAATGGAAGTTCAAAATACCTGCTTTATAGAATGCTGTGACGGTTAAATGAACTAATACATGTAAAATGCTTATAGGTATGCCTGGCCTATAGGGTTCAAAATGTATCTCAGCTATAGTTGTTAGGTTTCTTTTATAAACTTTTACATACTAGCATTCCTTTCCCCCCATCCAGACGAGTTGAAAATACCAAATGTTGTTTGGACTGGCTTGGCTTCCTGCATTGCTTTTTCCAAAGTTGTTGTTTTTTTTGTTTTGTTTATTTATTTTTTTGTGGTACTAGGAATTGAACCCAGGGGCTCTACTTCTGCTACTGAACTACATCCTCAGCTTTTTAAAATTTTTTATTTTGAGTCATGGTTTTAATAAGTTGTCCAGTTTGGCCTTGAACTTGTGGTCTTCCCACCTTAGCTTCCTGAGTCATTGTTTTTTTTTTTCCCTTCAGTTTTTTTTTTTTTTTTAGAGAGAGAGAGAATTTTTAATATTTATTTTTTAGTTTTTCGGCGGACACAACATCTTTGTTTGTATGTGGTGCTGAGGATCGAACCCAGGGCGCACGCATGCCAGGCAAGCACACTACCGCTTGAGCCACATCCCTAGCCCCAGCTTTTTAAATTTTTTATGTATGCCTTCATTTGACAAAAATTTCACTCATCTTTGAAATATGAAATTTGTAAAATAAGCCTCTTTGTTTTTCAATACAGATTCCTCTTTTAATCTGGATTGTCCTTTTCAAACAATATACGTTTCTAGTTGAAAATACTGACTAAAAGCGTAAGTTTGAATTTAAGAAGGCCAGGTTGGAGAATAGGGAAGGGTAAAGATAGCTGAGAACAGAGGTAGGAAATACTCATATGAGGGCTCTTAGACTAGGAACCACTAGTTACAGAGAAAGTCAATGGGACAGAGTAGTGTGAGTACCTGGCTTGTTTAATTTGAATAACAAAAGACTTGGCAAATAGGAGACACTGAGGATGGAGATGATGCCCAATAACTTAGTACCTTTAAGCCAGATTGTCTTCACATTGTTTTTATCCTACTGGGTACCTGTATTTTTTACAGTTTTTGTGAAGCCACCTTGAAATTCTCAATATATTGTGCAATTTTGGAGAACATTGTTAGAGTACAGTGATCTTCAGATGGTACACACAGACACATTGCCCATTTTGGGCGACCTAACCAACTTATTGCAATTAGTCTTATTGCTTATGCCAAAAAAGATCATGATGCTTTTTTGACTGGGTTAATTATACCATTCTTTTTTTTTTTTCTTCTGGTACTGGGGATTGAACCCAGGGGTGCCTATCCACTGAGCCACATCTCCAGACCTTTTTAAAAATATTTTATTAGAGACAGGGTCTCGCTGAGTTGTTAAGTGCTTTGCTAAGTTGCTGAGACTGACTGGCTTTGAACTCGTGATCCTCCTGCCTCAGCCTCCAAAGCTGCTGGGAATATAGGTGTGCGCCACTGTGCCTGGCGGAATTGTACCATACTTGAGTACTGATTTTTTTTTTTTTTTTTTAATGTCTTTAGCAATCCAGGTATTTGTTTTGTTTCATAAATGTTTTTTATGACCTGATCTTTGGATCACTTTGGGTTTGAGTCCACCTAATCTAAGGTGGGACACTGAACTAGTAGATTCTTTTCCAGATTATTTGATGAAATATTCTAGACAGTTTTCTTCCTTGGTTTGTTGGGACTGGGGAATGAAACCTCTGAGCTGCATTCCAGCCCTTGTTATTTTTAATTTTGAAGCAGGGTCTCACCAGGTTTCCCAGGTTGGCTTGAATTTGTAATTCTCCTGCCTCAGCCTCCTGAGTAGCTGGGATTACAAATATTCACCACTGTGCCTAGCACTAAACATATTTCTTAAATAAACATAATCATTATCTGAAACTGAATTTAAAATCAAATTAATTCAACTTTTTCGTCTTGCTATACATTCAATAATTCATCTTCTTTTTGGCCTCTTGCTTTCCTAAATGTTTATTAATACCAGCCACAAATAGACTATTCTGATTTTTTTGAAGCCCTCATAATTATGTATATGGGGACATTGGATGTGTCTGGGGTTCTTAATGAAGCAATATTATGAGATTTTAGTGTTTGGGGTTTATCTCTTAGAAGGACTGCAAGGCAGTTTTGCTACTAAATATTCTAAAATAGGTTATGTTAAAAGCAAGGTTGTGGCCTATGTTTGTTTACAGCATTAATATTGAAAATAAGAGTTACAGTGAAATGGTATATTTTGGGATCATTTATTAACTAGAATTAAGTTGTCCAAGAAATTGTGTAAGTTATTAAAATAAATGTAAACTGTTGTGCTGAGTGGGGCGGGGTTTGTGGCTCAGTGGTAGAATTTGTGCTTCACATGTGTGAGGTCATGAGTTCAATCCCTAACATTAAAAAAGAAAAATAACTGAATGCAGTGGCATACACCCCCAAATGCCATCAGCTTGAGAGGCTGAGTAGGAGGATCACAATTTTGAGGCCAGTCTTAGCAGTTTAGCAAGGCCCTAAGCAACTTAGCAAGTCCCTGTCTCAAAATATAAAGTAAGTAAAAAGAATTGGGGATGGAGCTTAGTGGTAAAGCACCCCTGTGTTCCATCCCTAGTACCAAAAAGTCCAAAAACTGATTAAACAGTTGTAACAATAAGCAGTATTAGACGTTTGGGATACTTAATTTTGTTTTACTGTAAGCACTGTTGAATCTTTAGTTCTTAAGAAGCAAGGTGGTATTTTTGGAGACCACTTGAATCCTTTTTTCCCTTGGTTTTGATGACAGGGATTGAACCTAGGGCCTTGTACATGCTTCTAACAACTTCTAACTCTGCCAGTGAGCTCTCCCCCTATCTCATTGCCTTTATTTTTACAGAGGCTAGATGTTAAAAATTGTGAAGAAAAAAATTAATGATTTTTTTTTCAGTTGACTTCTATAGTATTTATAAAAAGCCTTTTTTAAAAGGTTGAAACTAGAAAGTTGATTTTAGTACCATTTATCCATTAAATGTCATATCAATATCTGAATATAATATCAAATTTAAAGTGGCATTTGAAACAAAATTTTTCTTAAGGGAGGCTTTATTTTTGTTTTTGTTTTTGTTTTTTTAGGCTTCATGGTGTATTAGATAAACTTCGCTCTGTTACAACTGGTAAGATTTATATAACATTGAGGTTTTTTTCGAATTCCTGCTTACTCGCATATGCTTCTAAATTACTACTGCTTCAGGAAAAAACCCATAACTTTGAAAAGAGTGGCTCATTTGAACTTTGTAAGGAAACACATTTTTCTGAATGTAAGAACAGTGAATTTATTGTAGCTCAGAAATAATTTAAATGTTTGGTGGGGAGCAGTGCAGTTAATCCTAAGGAAATAATCAGATGTGTGCAAAAATTTAACCTTAAAATGTCTCACTATTGTATAATTGAAAATTACTTAAAAACCCAGTAGTAATAAGTTATTATATTACTGTGTATGGAATATTAGCTGTAAAACAATGTGGAATAATGAAATGAGGACAATGTGGAATAATAAAATGGGAAAAATAAAATAATAAAATGAGAACAAAATATGTATCTTAGTTTTTGAAATGGGTATGTATACCTTATCAAAACATCACCTTTGTGGTAATTGGTGATTTTTATTCATATTTTAAAAGTTCTCTACAATAAACATGTATTGCTTTTGAACTGGTGATGGGAGAGGAACAGATTTTAATAAAAGTCAATTACAAGGACTATGTATTTTTCTTTCTAGAACCCACTAGTCTAAAGTCTTCTGATACCAACATCTTCGATAGTAACGTGCCTTCAAACAAGAGCAGTTTCAGTCGGGGAGATGAGAGAAGGCACGAAGCTGCAGTATCTCCCCTTGCCATTTCTAGCAGTAGACCTGAAAAAAGAGATTCCAGGGTTTCTGCAGGTTCACAGGAGCAGAAAACCACTAATACCAGGTAAGAGTTGTGTATACACCTGCTATGGGAGATGAGTGTATGTATGTGGTATTTACATTATTTTTTTCAGATGCTGTTTTCAGCAATTTTTGCTGAATTAATGAAGTAATTGTTAGCAATTCTTAGGATAAAATAATAGATAAGACCTAAATATGGTTACCTTTTGTTTAAAATATAGTAAATCAAAGTTTAAAGAAAGAATGTCATTTTGAAGTAGTTTTGAATAAGGGAGTATCTATTTTTGCTTGTGAAACATTTTTAATATTTTTTGAAGATTTGGAGATAATGGCTCTAATTTGATTGTAATATGTCTTGCTTTTTAATAGACAGACTTATGATGAAGGAGCTGCAACCCGACTAATGTCAACAGTGAAACCTCTGAGGGAGCCAGCACCCTCTGAAGATGTGATTGATATTAAGCCAGAACCAGATGATCTCATTGATGAAGACCTCAATTTTGTGCAGGAGAATCCCTTATCTCAGAAAAAACCTACAGTGACACTTACTTATGGTTCTTCTCGCCCTTCCATTGAAATTTATCGACCACCTGCAAGTCGAAATGCAGATAGTGGTGCTCATTTAAACAGGTTGCAGTTTCAGCAGCAGCAAAACAGTATTCATGCTGCCAAGCAACTTGATGTACAGAACAACCGGGTGTATGAAACAGGACATTTGTGTGAACCAGAAGTGCTTAACAATTTAGAAGAGACTTATAGTCCCTTCTTCAGAAACAACTCAGAAAAAATGAGTATTGAGGTTTGTATGTATTTGTAATTCTGACTTGTTAGGCCACAGTTTGGCAACTAAATGCATATTGTAAGTTTATTTTAAATTGATTTTTCTGCTATTCAACATGTTACATCAGTCAAATTTTCCTCTCCATGGCTGACTCCTAGGGAGATTTTATACTACATCTGTATACCTTCTTTGGATTTCTTTCATTTGAGTTAGCTTATAATTTTGGGTATTTTGGGTCAATTTTAGACAGTTTTTGGTAATTGCTAACCCAAGTAACCCCCTTTTATTTCTTCAGCAGTGCTTTGTGCAGCTATTATAAATGAATGTAGAGCTCTGAGTTTTGTTTTAGCTGAATGCTGGGTATTTTGAGGCAGTGTTTATATTTTTATAAGAAATTGGGAAGTACCCTGTGAATTCTCAATATGATTGTCTTTTTCTTAAGATGTTTTGTGAAAGAACTTCATTATTTTCTGAGACTAGGTAAGCATAATCATATCTGATTGTAGGATGAAAACTTTCGGAAGAGAAAGTTGCCTGTGGTGAGTTCAGTTGTTAAAGTAAAAAAGTTCAATCACGATGGAGAAGAGGAGGAGGAAGATGATGATTATGGCTCCCGAACAGGAAGCGTGTCCAGCAGTGTATCTGTGCCAGCAAAGCCTGAAAGGAGGTACCTGAACATAGCTGTAAATTAATCTTTAACTGTCTAGTGGAGTCTTCTGGTGGCTGTTTTTTTTTTTTTAAAGTTGTACTGGAATAAACTCAGGGCCTTTTACATGCTAGCCAAGTGCTCTATTATTGAACTATACCCCAGTGCCTTCTAGATTTCTTGAAGAGAGTAATTATGAAAATAAATATTTAATGTAAATCACATGTAAGATTTTTCCATTGGCTTTTAAGAAACACTTAGGTAAATGAGAGAGAACTTGCTTAACATTGAAGAGAATTGTAGAAAACATAAAAAGCGAATTGGATGAGAGAAAAAAACATCAATCCAGCTAAAAGGCTCCAGTCTAGCTGCCCCCCGCACACCTTTTTTTCTTTTAAGAAAATGGAACACAGAGTAGGAAAGTAAGGATTATGCAGTTGAAGGGAAAGAGAGTATGGACTTTCTTGAGTGAAATTCCCTCATGGCATTGTCTAAAAACTACACGTGATCTGTTTAAGACTTAGAAGAAGTTGTGGTAAAGACATAATGAATTGTTAGTATGTAAAGATGTGAAATTTAAAAATACTTTTTTTTAAAAAACTCTTTTAGACCTTCTCTTCCACCTTCTAAACAAGCCAACAAGAATCTAATTTTGAAGGCTATATCTGAAGCTCAAGAATCAGTAACAAAAACAACTAACTATTCTGCAGGTAATTTAAATGAAGTTTGTTTACAATGGGTAAGAGATTTCTTCACTTAGCTAAAAGTGTTTGCTCACTGAGTTGTGGTAAAGGTAATTTTGATATATCAAGGCCAAGATAAAGTTCTTCTACAGAAGAGTATTTTTAAAATGAGATATGACCAGTTTGAGAAACTGTCATTGGAGCTTAGTTCTTGTGATCACCATGTAATACCTTTTATTCCCTCTTTCCAGTGTATGTCAAATGGATACAAATTTTTAAAGGGAGTTTTTTTTTCTTTTTAATTATTTTAATTGTAAATGGACACAATACCTTTATTTTATATTTTATGTGGTGGTAAGGATTGAATGCAGGGCTTCACACCATGATAGGTAAGCGCTCTACCACTGAGCTGTACCACAACCCTACTAAGGGAAGTTTTTTGTTGCTGTTCTTTTTGTTTTTTAATATTTTTAGCTATAGATGGGCACAATATTTATTTTTTTATGTGGTGCTGAGAATTGAACCCAGTGCTTCACACATGCTAGGCAAGTGCTCTACCACTGAACTATAACCCCAGCCCTTAAAGGGAATTTTGATTTCAAGAAATGAGACTTTCATATTAATAGTATTAAATTCAGCATTAGATATGAATTAATTATGTATAAAAGGGAGCAGAGTTGCAGGGCACAGTGGCACATGTCTATAATCCCCAGTTTGGGAGGCTAAAGTGGGAGGATCACCACTTTAGCAACTTAGCGAGATCATCAGAAAATTAGGGAGACCCTGTCTCAAAACAAAAAAGGAGCCAAATTGGATAATAGTAAGTGGCTAAAGTTAGAGGTTTGTGTGTGTGTGTGTGTGTGTGTGTGTGTGTAGTGGGGGGACTGGGTATTAAACCCAGAAATGTTCTACCTATGAGCCACATCCCCCACCCCTCTTCTTCTTCTTCTTTTTTTTTTTTTTTTTAATATTGAGACAGGACCTTTTGGTCCTGCCTCAGCCTCCTAAGTTTCTGGAATTATAGGCATGGGCCACCATGCTCAGCTTGAAGTTGACTCTGTGTGTATGTGCAGTGCTGGGGATCAAATCCAGGGTATGCTACACTAGCACTAAGCTGTATCCTTAGCCTCAGAGAAATTTAAAACTTTTTTATATATATGTATATATGTATGTATATAAATTTGCCTTTCATTGGAACCCGTTAGTAGAATATAAGGTAGAAAATTGACTCCCTTTATGATGTTTCTACCCTAATCAGAGTGGAAACACTAAGCTATTTTATGACAGAATGTTAAAATAGTACAAGTTTTTTAAACAAAGGAAATTTACTTATAAAAAGCTCATTCTGAAATACAAATGGTGGGGTACAATTTTTGTGTTCCTATTAAATTCTGTACTCTATATCATCTGCCAGTGTATAAAACTGGTAACAGGTTGATGGTAATTACCAACTCTCAAAATATTTTATAATTTTTACTATAGATTTGATGAATGTTCTTTTTTTTTTGTTTGTTTGTTTCCCCTTGCTTATTTACTCAGGTACCTACACAAAGCAGGAAGCACTGTTGTATCTATTTATTTATTTGTGGGGGTGGGGATTGAATCCAGGGCTTTTTGAATGCTAGGCAGATACTCTCCAATTGAGCTACATCCCCAGCCCTGGTGAATTTTTTTTTTTTTTTTTAATATATGACAACAGAATGTATTACGATTCTTATTACACATTTTAGAGCACTATTTTTCATATCTCTGGTTGTATACAAAGTATAGTCAAACCAATTCATGTCCTCATACCTGTACTTTGGACAATAATGACCATCACATTCCACCATCATTTCTAACCCCTGCCCCTTCCCTTCCCCTCCAAACCCCTCTGCCCTATCTAGAGTTCGTCTGTTCTTCCCATGCTCCCTCTCCCTATCCCACTATGAATCAGCCTCCTTATATCAGAGAAAACATTCATCATTTGGTTTTTGGGGATTGGCTAATTTCACTTAGCATTATCTTCTCTAACTCCATCCATTTACCTGCAAATGCCAAGGTTTTATTCTCTTTTATTGCTGAGTAATATTCCATTGTGTATGTATGCCACTTTTTTTTAATCCATTCATCTATTGAAGGGCATCTAGGTTGGTTCCACGGTTTAGCTATTGTGAATTGTGCTGCTATAAACATTGATATGGCTGTATCCCTGTAGTATGCTGTTTTTAAGTCCTTTGGGTGTAGACTGAGGAGAGGGATAGCTGGTTCAAATGGTGGTTCCCTTCCCAAGTTTCCGAGAAATCTCTACTGCTTTCCATATTGGCTGCACCAATTTGCAGCCCCACCAGCAGTGTGTGAGTGTGCCTTTTTCCTCACCTCCTCGCCAACACTTGTTTTTATTCATAATAGCTACCATTCTGACTGGAGTGAGATGAACTCTTAGAGTGGTTTTGATTTGCATTTCTCTAATTGCTAGCAATGATGAACACTTTTTCAAATGTTTGTTGATTGATTGTATATCATCTTCTGAGAATCGTTTGTTCAGGTCCTTGGCCCGTTTATTGATTGGGTTATTTGTTTTTTTTTTTTTTTTTTGGTGTTTAACCTTTTGAGTTCTTTGTACACCCTAGAGATTAGTGCTCTGATGTGTGACGGGTAAAGATTTGCTCCCAAGATGTAGGCTTTCTGTTCACCTCACAGATTGTTTCTATTGCCGAGAAGAAACTTTTTAGTTTGAATCCATCCTTTTTATTGATTCTTGATTTTAACAGCATCATTCTTAACATTTCTTTTTGTGACCCCTTTCTGAAATGAACTGTTAGCCATCAGTTTTTTAATCCTTATACTCTGTCTCTATCCGTAATTTAATCTGGAACATAAAATTAAACAGGGTTTAGCATAGAATGAGGATTGTCTAAGCACAGACCAACACTTGACCTAAAAGTTTGTTTACATTCCCTTTTCTGTTCTATTAGTAATGGTGCAGAATAGTGAGAAATTTAGATACTCTCTGTGACTTGAAATATGCTGCTTTTTTAAAAAAAAAATATTTATTTTTTAGCTTTAGGTGGACACATGCCTTCATTTTATTTTTATGTGGTGCTGAGGATCGAACCCAGTGCCTCACGCATGCCAGGCGAGCGCGCTACTACTTGAGCTATATCCCCAGCCCCTGCTTTTATAATAATTGTCAGTCTCCAAATTTTAAGAAATAGCATTGAAACTTTTTTTTTTAACCTAGGTTACCTAAATTATAATTTGAAGTTGAGGTAAGATCACAAAACAGAGCCTAAACTTCATCTGATTAAAAATGAATATATATGAGCTCTATGGTATTCATGGCATGTTGCTTAAACATACAGATATCGTTTGCATATGTCTAGCATTAAGTTTGGCATTTATTATTTTTGGTAACTTTGGTAAGTTTGGTCAGGAATATTGTAAGAAAGACTGAGGTAGTATTTGTGACTGTTTTAAACTATCTTAGTGTTCTAAATCCAGTAATTTTATGTTTAATATGACATGTTTATTAGTGAGTCTTAATACGTTGTCTGTGTTTATTTTATGTAAAAGTCCCACAGAAACAGACACTTCCAGTTGCTCCAAGAACTCGAACTTCTCAGGAAGAATTGTTAGCAGAAGTAGTCCAGGGGCAAAGCAGGACCTCCAGAATAAGTTCCCCCATTAAAGAAGAGGAAGCAAAAGGAGATAATGTAGAAAAAAATCAAGGTAAGAATTTAGATGATATTTTGTTCTCAAACTTTTTTCATGAGACATTAAATATTTTGAATTTTTCATGAGGTATTATTTATGGTATGAAGAAAGTGATTAGATGCAAAAAGAATGAGAAGGGTTAACGAAGAATGTTTATACACATTTTTTGGAGATTTATTTATTAAAAATTTTTTTTTAGTTTTAGTTGGACACAGTACCTTTATTTATTTTTATGTGGTGCTGAGGATCAAACCCAGTAACTCACACGTGCTAGGCGAGCACTCTACCACTCAGCCAAGTCCCAGCCCCTGGAGATTCTTTTAAAGTTTACTACGCAATTTTTTAATGTTCTCCACAGTGAAAACCTAGTGTAGTCAACTCCATAAGCCAAATCATCCAGCCTTCATCATTATCAGGATTTTGCAGAAAGTTTCTACTTAAAGATATACTTATTTCTGTAGTCTTCCTTTTTTTTTTTTTTTTTAAAGCCTATATACTCTCCAATTTGAAATATTAGTTTTCTTTAAACCAAGACAGCTTCTTCAGTGTCCTACCTCATATACTTTATCTTCTGATGGGTAACACACTAGAAGCTGTTACCATCCATCTGGTTTTCCTACTTCCTTTTTTTCACTTTTCTCTCCACCCCAATTTCTATGTAGTCTGCTAATTTCTGAAGTATGACTCTCATCATGTGATTCCTTTGTGAGAGTGCCTCCCCTTCATCCTTATTGCCCAGGACTTGTGCTGTCAGTTTGAACTTTGGGTAGCTTTGTTATTGGGCCCCTAAGGCCTGCTTATCCCTTCTCCACTTTTCCTGCTTTTCTACTGCTATCTGAATTTAAAAACTAACAAACAATCTGTATGCTCATCATGTTGTTTCTAATTACACTTTTTCTCACTTTGGAATGCATTTGTTTTGTTCCTCCTAAACTGTGTTCTTTAAATTGTTTCAGGTTTCATGAAGCCTTATAGTTCTAACGTCTATTTGTCTCTTCATTCTCTTTTTTTTAAAAAAGGTTTATTTATTTATTTATTTTGGTACTGGCGATTGAACTTGGGGGCACTTGGCCACTGAGCCACATCCCCAGCCTTATTTTGTATTTTTCTTAGAGACAGGGTCTCACTGAGTTGCTTAGCTGAACTCAAGATCCTCAGCCTCCTGAATTGCTGGGACTACAGGTGTATGTCACTGTGCCTGGCTCTCTTTTTTTCTTTTCTTTCCCTTTTTTTTTCTTTTCTAGTGCTTGGGATTGAACCCACCATTGCAGATGCTAAACAAATGCTGTATCACTGAGTCACATCCGTAGCCCTTTTTATTTTATATTGTGATAGTCTTACTAAATTGCCCAGGGTGGCCTTGAATTTGTAATCCTCCTGCCTCAGCCTTCCAAGTAGTTGGGATTACAGGCATGCACCATCATGATCTTTTTAAAATCATTTTTTTTTTTTGGTCTTGTATAATTTGCCAAGTGAGCATTATAAAATGTTGCAGTAAATGGTGAATCTGAGGGTGCTCTTTTTCTTTTATTAATACATTATAATTATACTTAGTAGTTGGGTTCATTTTGACAAAATCCTACATTCATGGAATTTGATATAGTTTATTTCAATCTGCATTGTCCACCTTTTTCCTCCTCTCTACCACTCTTGCCTATTCTGTCTTCTACTTTACTGGTCTTTTTTTTTTTTTTTTGTGGGTACCAGGGATAGAACCCAAGGGGTTCTTAACCACTGAGCCACATCCTAGCCCTTTTATTTTTATTTTTAATTTTAGATGGACATAATATCTTTATTTTATTTATTGATTTATTTATTTTTGTGTGGTACTGAGGGTCAAACCCAGTTCCTCACACTTGCTAGACAAATGTCCTACCACTGAGCCATAACTCCAGCCCCCCAGCCCTTTTTATTATTTATTTTGAGACAGGGTCTCACTAAGTTGCTGAGGCTGGCTTTGAACTTTTGATCCTCCTCCCTCAGCCCCCAGAGTTGCTGGGATTACAGGTGTACACCACTGTGCCCAGCTTTTACTGTTCTTGGTTCACTTGCTTACTTATTTATTTATCTATCTATCTATTTACTTTTTTAAAATTTTATTTTTTAGTTGTAATTGGACACAATACCTTTGTTTTATTTATTTATTTTTATGTGGTGCCAAGGATCGAACCCAGGGCCTTGCACGCACTAGGCGAGCACTCTACTGCTGAGCCACAACCCCAGCCCATTGTTTATTTATTTTTGATTGATGCTTTATTGATTACACATAAAGGTGGTATTTACTGTGGTATATTTATACATTCATATAGTATGATTTTGTTAAATTCATTCTGTGTTTCTTCCTCTTTCCCTTCTCTTCCCCCTCCCTCTTGGTCTCCATCTCAACTGATCTTCCGTATATCTTTATGATACCTGATTCCCCTTCCCCATTTTGCTCTAGCTATTGCATATGAAAGATAGCATTTGATCTTTGATTTTATGAGTGGCTTATTTCACTTACCATGATGTTCTCCATTTCTGTTCATTTACTGGCACAAGCCATAAGTTCATTTTTTCTTATTTAAAACAATTTTTGTTGTTGTTATTGTCTGTATTGTGTAATTTTCCATGTGAGCATTATAAACTATTCTAGTAAAGGGTGGAACAAGAAAACCCCTAAAAAGCCAGTTAGGTACTGACTAGAAAGTATAAAGGTGCTAGTTTGAGAAGAGCATCTACAAACTGCAAGAGATTTGGCTTTAATAACAGTTAGGTGAAGCTAAAAGTCTAAAAGGACTATCATAGTCTTCTTCCTACAAACTCTCCATTTTCGTGCTCTAGAGTTCCCTTCACTCTGTTGTTCCAATCACTCTGGTTGATTTCCAGAACTCCAAAAAGAAAAAGGGAAAAGCTATACCATTTCAGAGTGAGCTGAAAGACATTAAGAAAATAATTACATGCAAAAATAACATTAAATAATTTTTATAATTTTTTTTTTTTAAAAGAGAGAGAGAATTCTTAATATTTATTTATTTTTTTTAGTTTTCGGTGGGCACAACATCTTTATGTTTTTTTTTTGTATGTGGTGCTGAGGATCAAACCTGGGCTGCATGCATGCCAGGCGAGCGCGCTACTGCTTGAGCTACATCCCCAGCCCCATCATTAAATAATTGGTAAACTTGGAAATGAGGTGACAAGAATTAGAAATAAAAATTTATTTGGAAGCAAGAACTTAGAGGCCCTGGGTTATTCCCCAGCATCAAAATGAAGAAAAAGCAAAGACTATTCTAGAAAGAACTCAATTAATAAATCATCTTCAGATAAATGGAAGATAAAAAAGAAGGACATTTTAAAAATCAGAGTTCAAGAGAAAATGTCAGATAACAAGTATAGAGCTGGGTGCTGTGGCACACACCTGAAATCTTAGTAACTCCGGAGGCTGATGCAGCGGGATCACAAGTTTCAGGCTCATCTCAGCAATTTATCAAGGCCCTGACTCAAAAAGGCTGGGGATTTAACTCAGTGGTAAAATATCCTTGGGTTCAATTCCCAGTACCCGCACCCCCCCCCCAAAAAAAAAAAAGTATAAGCAATGGAGATACAACAGTGTATTTATTATAGGCATTGGCGGGTGGACGGAGGCAATCCTTAACTATCTTTTAAGAAAACATTCTGAAAAAAAAAATACACATGAAACTACTTTCTGGAAAATTACACTGTATACCTTAGAATATGTACCCACAGCTAAATATTCTGTTGTATTCTACGGTAGAAACTGAAACAGAAAGAAAACAAAAAACTTGAGTATTCAGGCTAAAAGAACACACAACTTAGAAGAAGAAAAAGCATATTATTATTGGACCTTTCAAATAGCATCACTTCATGCTAGGAGACAATGGGCAAGTATATTTAAGATACTCCAGGAAGAAAAGAGTCAAGAATTTTATGTTCAGTTAAAAATGATCTTGAGAGCTGGGGACATAGCTCATTTGGTTGAGTGTTTCCCTCTCATGCACAAGTCCTTGGGTTCAATCCCCAGCATTACCCCCCCCCCCCCCAAAAAAAAAAAAATTGACTTTGAAATTTGAAATCTAATGGATTATGACCTTCAGTCAAGTAAAACCCTGTTGTTCTGAATTTGCATTGGAAATTTTTATGAACTCACATTGTGTTTTATCTGTAAATGCATATAAATTTTTCTCTGGATGTGCCTACTGGAAACAGAAACATTAAATATCCATAGCATTGAGTGTCCCAAGTACCTAGATTGAAGTCTTGGAATAGTTCATCTATAACAAAGACAGACTTTTGAGAAGGAAGACGTCTCTAGATCTAATCCTAGAATGAATGTGTAGATATCTTAGGTAGCAAAGTAATAGCCACACTTTGCCACCACACAGCCTGGGATACTTTGCTGGGTTTTTAAACCTTTAATTGTGTCCGAAAATTTCTTTTGTTTCTTTAATCACTTTGCTTGATCAACTTCTGTTGTGTTAGAGTCAGTCCATTGGATTCCAAAACCAAATTTTAAGAGGTTCCCATTGGCCAAAGATGGAGCCATTGGAGTTTCAATAAAGGTAACAATTGCAGTGGGAAGGGCTCTCTGAAATCTCCAGAACTAGGGAGAGGAGAAAGAAAGAGTGTGAGGGGGAAAAAGGTGAGAGAAAGAAAGCCTTGTGGAGTATAATAGATACCAATTCATTGTCTTGGTAACCTGGTAAATAAAATGTTTGAGCTTTTATATTGTCCAACAGTGGTACCACTGGGTAACCAAATAGTACAGATGTTAGCTCCCATTTATTTATTTACTTTTTTAGTTAATATTTATGTGGTGCTGAGGATTGAACTCAGCGCCTCGCATGTGCTAGGCAAGTGCACTACCACTGAGCCACAATCCCAGCCCCATTGGCACCCATTTTTTGTAAATAACGTTTTATTGGAGCTGAGCATGGTGACACATGCCTATAATCCCAGCTACTAAGGAGGCTGAGGCAGGAGGTTGACACAGTTTGAGGCCAGCCTCAGTAACTTATCAA